ACCAGATAAGACTGGGCGGCGGCGATCCAGTGCGGCTCAAGAAAAGACTCATATAGAGCCTGAAAGACGAGGGAGAAACGAGGGGGAAGTTTAAGCATAGCCCCAATCTCGGCGTCAGAAATATCCGAGACTTGGAAGTTAGAATCCATGATTTTTTCCCCCGGGATAAGCACACGTTCCCTTGGCACCGGAGGAACATCAACAACATCAGGAATTGGGACTGCCAGCGCCCAAGTTTTGGTCACCGGTGCCTTCTCTTTGCGCCTCCTTTTTAGCGCAGGAACTTCCACCTCCAACTCCGAAGGGGCCTTCGTGGTTTTCTTTTTTCTCGGCGCTTGGGAAGAAGAGCTAGCTTTCTCCTTTTCCTTGGATGGAGGCTGTTGGCTTGGCGGGGGCTGCTGGCTTGGCTGAGGCGGCTAATTACCGGGAAGCTAAATCCTCAAAGACGCCATTTCTGTGCAAACGATGAGACAAAAATATAGTCGACGATTGGATAGAATGCTAGAATAAGAAAGGTGTCAAGATCAAGAGTTTACCTTCGTCGTTTAAATGGAAATATTCACGAACAGCGTCAAGATCGGTGGGATCTGGGAGATCGAGAATCAACCCAGCTTCTCGAAGATTGGACTTGGTCAGGAGGGTGTCAATATGACGAGCTTCGGACGAAAACGAAAAAGCCTGCTCAACCCTCGCCAATCTATTCCCAGCAAGTTTCGGCCGGTCTTGACTAACTATAGGATAAAATGACTGTCAGCATAAAAAAAAGGGAGAGAAGAAAAGTGCGGAAAGAAGAAGAGAAGTCAAAATCTCACTCATGTTCCCAAACGACGCCTGCACCTTCCTTCGGTGGGGCAAGCGGTCGTCGGGATGAAAGTTAAAAGGCCTACGTATCATAAAAAATATAAGTTTCCACCCATGTGACGACGAGGGTATAATCAATATTAGCTTGCTGAACCTGGGTTGAGATCTCCCATGCCCACTCAAAAAATACCACCCCTTGTACCTTGCGACGTGGCACAGTCTGTACATGAATCTAAACTCGTCCAGTGGAAGATCAACATCAAACTGCTGACTCCACAAAATTCAGGCGCCGGCAAAGCAGTACTAAAAATTTGGCACCAACTGGGCAGGGGAGATGCCATAGAAATGACAATAGTCCTTTACAAAGGGATGAACCGGAAAGGTCATCCCCGCCGTGATAGCTCTGGTATAAACGGGGAGGTATTCGGTCGGAGGCATGCTAGTCCTAAAATGCATATCCGGGAGGAGGTATTCGAACCACCTCCCATCAATGCAGTCTTCTTTGACAGCCCAGATAATATCCTTATTCCGGACCCTTGACGCCACGATGTTGGCCGTAAAGAAAGGCCTGTCCGGATCTCCACTCATAGCAGCCAGGGGGACATCTACCAGCGAAGCAGCAACCCCTCTTACGCTGCCACCCGTGAAAGGAATTCTGTCAATCACTTCGTCTATTATGTGGTCGACACTACCAAAACTCATCGCCGAAGTCATCTCCTGGTCCAAATGCGGCCTCAGCGTCTTCTATTTCCCTCAGTAAAGAGTCAACGCCTGAAGAAGAAGATGACCATGAAATCTCCTCCACAGAAGGAGAGTCTGGTCGGACGACGGAAGGATCCTCTCGACAGGGGGGGTTTTGGGCCATTGTTCTGATAATTAAAAAGACAAGGAACTAAGTCAAAATCCTAAAGTTGAGAGGAAGAGGAAAAAGACGACCGTTCTAAGCGACAACCATTCTAAACGACGACTGCTCAAATGCCTCGACATAACGTCGGCCATTTATGTAAAAATGGTAACGGCGAGTATTCATGGTAACCAAGGTTCATCACCCAGGGGCCAGAAGCGTACAATCAACAAAAAAAAAATCAAATCAGAGAAAGAACTATCCTACGAGGATTATACAAAGCAAACAGTAAGTTCTCTATCCCCTATATTCCACATTAGCATATCTGTAGCTTTCGATAGGAAAGAAAGTCTCTTAAAACAACACAAAACGAGTGATGGTGAGGCTTACCGGTAAATCGGATTCTGGGCAAAGTCTGGAACTGAGACGGCTTCGCAACGTACTGAGCAGGGCAAGGAATGCAGGTTGGAATTTACAAGGAAGAATTTCGGCAGAGTAACTACAGTTTAAAAAATGTTTGGAAAAGCGGCCTCGGTTCGAAGGGAATTTAAGGGGAAGCAAGCCCTCGACCCCTGACCATTGGATGAAGCTCATGAAATCCAACGGCAGGGGCATCTCGCCCAGATCTGACGACAGCAGACAAAGGCGGGAAAATGAAGGGGCGCGATCCAAAGGCTCACATTCGCCCTTTCGAAATAAGGCCTCACGTCAGCATGGGAAAGTGACCGACGCGACAATTGCGTTCCTCGAGGAAGTCTGAAGCATCCAAACCATCATTACGGATGAAGGCTTGGGATTAGGTTCCCACACTCGAAGCACGAAGGTACGATCGAACCTAAGCTCGAGGCTGTCTGAAAAAAACCCTCGACCTGAGGGCAGCTGTTGTGTGGAAAAATGTGGATGACGCGTGGAAGAACAACAGTGTGACACATGGCCTTGCTTTTCCTCAAAAGGTAACAACCCTCGACGCTGGGGACTCCCTTTCCTTCTGCGGCAAAGGAATCCCAACTTAGGTTGCCGACTCCTCATGACGACGACAAGTCGTACTGTCGACCTTACTACGGAAATCCTTCGAGAGAAAATCAATCGCCAAGAAAGACTAGGCTGAGCAAACAGAGACGGCGAGAGGGATGCCCCAAAAGGGGAAAGCCTGACATCGCAAGTTGCGTGTAGAAATAGGGGATGTCTGTAATGCAGGCATTACTTGTAAACCCTTAAACCGCCCTACGGGGGACAGAAAAGGGTTATAGGTACGCACAGAGCCGTAATGGGAGACTAATTGGCTGAGTGAACAGTTCGCAAAGTGATTAGTGGGCTACGGTCTGGGCCTAAAAAGGCAGACGACTTGAGTGCTTCTGCCTACAAAGGAGACCCACCCGATGAAGGAAGCTCGGCTATAAAAGGGGCAAAGCCCCATACAGGAAGGAGGTTCGCTTCCTGAGAGAGAAAAAAATGAGAGAACAACAGTTGTGGTAAATTGCAACAATCTCAAAAGGAATATAAAACTACAGTGGATGTAGCTCTTCATTAACAGAGTGAACCACTATAAATTTCGTGTGTTCTACTACTTTTAAGCATTTTATCTCATATTGCTCACTTTTCTAAAAATATAACAAACACTTCATTGCATAAACTGAGTATACAGTCAATATAAAGCCGGTAATCCAACGGGATACCTAGAGGTGACCCGGCCTATTTCTGTTGACGAGATTTCATCGTCAACAGTGGTCATTGAAAAAACATTTGTCGCGTTTGAGTTCGGCGGATTCTGCGAAGCAAGACAGGTTTTACAACCTCACGTTTCACAAGAGGCACCGAGAGATGATAATGGAGAAGTACACAAAGCATGTGGTGAAGGAAGGCATGGAAATCAGGAGGAGAAACAGGCAAAGGAAGCTTTACAGTAACTGTGCCGGTTCTAGCTGGTTAGGAAGGTGGACCTCCATAGTGTTTGAGAGCCTGGCGACCTTTGAAACACTGGCAATGGATTCGGAGAAGAAGAATGAAATTATGGAAGACTCATTGGCGTTTAGTAGGAACAAAGACTTCTATGCAAACGCTGGAAAGGCGTGGAAACGAGGGTATTTGCTTTACAGGCCACCGGGGACAGGGAAGTCGACCATGGTTGCCGCCATGGCTAATTTGCTGGATTACGATGTGTACGATCTTGAGCTGACGGCGGTGAAGGACAACACCGAGCTTCGGAGGCTTCTGATCGAGACAACGAGTAAGTCTATACTTGTAATAGAGGACATTGATTGCTCTCTCGAACTTACAGGTCAGAGGAAGAAAAAAGCTGAAAAATCTTCCAGGGAAGACGAAAATGACGAGTCTGGTGAGGGAGTAAAAGAATCAAGAGACAAAGAAGGAAACAGCAATAGCAAAGTCACTCTCTCGGGGCTGTTGAACTTCATCGACGGGCTTTGGTCGTCGTCTGGGAGCGAAAGGCTTATAGTTTTTACTACAAATCATGTGGAGAAGTTGGACCCAGCACTGATTCGGAGGGGTCGGATGGACAAGTATATTGAGCTTTCTTAGTGCAGCTTTCAAGGGTTCAAAGTGTTTGCCAAGAGCTATTTGAACCTTGAGACGCATCCATTGTTCGAGAGAATTGATATTTTGATGAGGGAGACAAATATCACTCCTGCTGATGTTGCAGAGAATCTCATGCCGAAGTCGCCACTGGACGATGCGGAGAGACGTCTTTCGAACTTGATTCAAGCTCTTGAAGAAGCTAAGGAAGCAGCAACAGCAGCTAAGAAGCAAGATGAGGAATCAATTGGGGTACAGCCAGCCATGGAAGAGGCAGTAAAAAAATAGACAACTAAAAATTTAAACTCCTTTTTCTCTTTATATAATACCTTATTTGTAATAGTTTTTTTTTTTTTTTAATTGAAGCTTATTTGTAATAGATTTACGCAGTGAGTTTATGTTCAGTCCCTGAATGTGTCGTGAACATAGCTATATGGTTTGAACTAAAACAAAGTATCGAGTCGACATTTGAAATTTGCCATGGCTACGCCACATGGAACAAAAATAACACGTATATTGTGATAGGACCAAGTGCCCAAAAGATTGGCTCGGATGTCAGTATTTTAAAACACATCCCTCTAGTGAAAAACTCAGTATCACATGTTCACATATGCACCACGGTATTACATTTTCATAAGACGTGAAAATGAGAAGAACAATATACGGCACTAACACTACTCTGATCTATAAGCAAACAAATAATAAGAAAGTTGATGGGAACATAATTCAAACTTGGTTGCCTGGTGAAATGGAAACATTCAATCCCTCGCGGGAGGAAAATCAGAATCGGGCAATTTTAAGGGAGTTGAAGCCAAAATGAGCAGATAAAAAATTAGTTACCTTCTGTGGGAGGATGGTCATGGTATTGTTACAGTAATAAAAAAATAAAAAAGACAGTTTTCGACCCGATGAATTTATCAACAGAACCGACCAACCCAAATGAGCAGGAGCAGATGATTCATGAACATAAGAGTTGAAAGTGATGCTAGGGAGGCTTGAACATCTAAAGCCAGATTTTTCAGTTACAATATTAGTTGAAGGTTATTGTACATTGATCTGATGAACTAACGAACTCCCAACAAATTCCCATTCATCTTTTGCAAGTTTGTTTTTGAATCTCGACAATACTAAAAAATGACTACCTAATTCTAAGTAACTCTCCGCATCATGTTGCTCCCCGGCTGCAGATCATGCACCAAGGTAGTTGCTTAAATTACGCCATGGAAATACTCTGACCATAACTGCTTCCCATGGGCTTATCACAAAATTTAAAAATTTTAATATCATACACTTATGGATGCTCGTGAAAACAGCCCTCACCTTCCAGCAGAGTGGAAAGTTTCAGAAATCATCGGTATCCTCATCTTTCATTATTGTATTTGGAACATCGTTGAAGCTTGAACCAGGGGCAACCTCATTTAGGTCACCAGGGGCAATCTCATTTAGGTCACCAGTGGCGATCTCATTTAGATCAAGAAAACGCCTTTTCTGCATTCCTTCAATTTCATCTTGGCCCAGGCTATTTGATTTTTCAGGAGGTGGGTTTTGCTCTTCTTTCTCTACTGTCTTGGGATAACCTTCAACAGGCTGACTATCTTTCATCTCCTGGTCATCATCATTACCATCAGACTCTTGGCTTCCCATTGAAAACTCTGCGTTCTCGCTTGCATCTTCTGACGGTTCATCTGATGCATTTGGTTGTTCATCTGATGCATTTGGCTTTTCATGTTTCATAGACTCCCCTTCTGAATCTGACAGCTCGTACTGCCGGTAATTGATTCGGTTTCTGGTGGATCTCTTACTCCGTCTTAGACCTGATTGAAGCTCATCAACAGACCTCAACTTAGTTTCCCTCCTAGTACGGCCTCGCAATTTCTTAAACTTCTGGGGCTCATCACTATCCTCACTCATACTTAAGTCCTCTTCTTCTTCCTCCTCTTCTTCCTCTTCAGCATTTTCATCATCCCAATGATACTCCTCATCTCCTTCAGAGCTACTGGAAAATTTTCTTCTCTGTTTACGCTGCCTCAAATATTCCTCATCGTATATAGCCTCTCCTACTATGTCATCATCGCTGTCAAAATCTGCTTCATTCTCTGAAACTGCATCTACAAAGTCTCTTTCGGAATACCGTTGAGGCCTCTGCTTACGCCGATTGCTGCATGTCAAAGTGTAATAATTAATAATAGAGCTTTTAGATATCAAGGAATTGGAAACTTAACGAAAAAGGAGAAAAAGGATAGAAGGACCAGACCTTCTATCCAATGGATCCGATTTATCATCTTCATAAGCATCATCAAAATCAGGTGATTTGGGAGACAAAGCACTAAAACCGACATGTTGACCATATGAAGGACCACTCCATCTGCCATTAGAGAATCCATCAGGTTTTGAAGCTCCTTCTCTTTTGAGTAAAGACTCTGGAGATGGCTGCTTCCGTCTGAACAGAAAAATAACAATTTGTCAACAATAGTTACTAGTCCAAAGAAGATCCTGCTAGAGAAAGCTGATAAGGATACATAAACAGTTGTTATTTCCATACTTGGTTATTTTGATGGCCTCATTGATGGATCGATCATAATCATCTGCAATGTCATTTTGAGAACAATCAGATCATATATACAATTAAATGAGACATCGGGTAGATAAACATCCACCATAACACCTTCCTGCTGCATGATCACCCAACAGTTCATCAGTTATTACCTAAATATAAAAATATCCAGCTAAAAAATATTTCATTACGTATCTTAAGTTAATTTATTGGGGAAAAAAAATCATCCAATTTAAATCCCCTGTTCATCTAAGGGACCTCTCATGAAGTTCAGTAAGGTCCCGGTTGTTGGCTGTGAAAAATCATTAAGGGCTTCGATAATTTATCAATTAAAAACCACAAACACAAGAAGAATTTCTGTAAAACACATTCATCAGATCAAAAAATCTTGATGCACCAATAATCTGTGGAGAACCACCCACATAATATGAAGGCTTATGGACGAGAAAATAAATAGATTAATCTTGAAAAGGACGATAGCTTTTATCGAGAAAATAGAAAAGGACATACGCACAGAGCATCTACACAAAGCAATGGTATAAAATTGATCAAATATGTAGAGAAAGAAAGAAGAGGGAAAAATAAAGCTGCAACGTCAAGAAAAATCAAATAGTTTATTGAAAAGAACTTCAAAAGGAAATTCCATACGCGGCTCAGCCTCATAGTCACAACCAACATATATCTGGGGCAACCTCTAGCCTCCAAAGAGAATTGGAGTCAAATGAAATTAAAAGAACATGAGCTCAAATTATTTGCATTAACTCCCCAACGCCAGAATTGCATATTTTACCCATCTTCATAGATCAAATAAAAAATATAACCAGATTGATTATCCACCTTAAAAAGTGGTATTGCCCACGAACAAAATGAATAGGTTAACCTCTGTTGCGCTTACCAAAAGTATAGGTGACAGGTTTTCTATCTCGAAGGGAGCGCCCTGGAGCAAGCCCATCCACATTGTAAAAATTATCAAGAAGAAGAGCCTGTCTATGTTGCTTCTTCAGCAATCTCTCTTTCCTCTGTTCAAATAAAATTGAATAGCCGTTTATCACCCCAATCACAGCAAAAATAACATGAAAGTCCTTTCCGCCCCGGAAAATTATACAACTTAGTCCACTAAAAAACATTGATGAGGGAAAAACAATAACAAAAACAGAAAGTATGAGAGATTCTCGCCAGAAAACACTTTTAGGTACCTTATGTTCCTTCTCAATCTCGGGAAGCATGTCAATCTTCAACTTTTTCCCGAGTGAACACTCTGTTCTATTTTTACTTGTGAAAAGTTTCTCCTGTGACAGCAAACAAAGTGTTTATTTAAAAAAAAAAAAAAAAAAAGAGCAACAGCAGGGAAAAAAGAGGATCTGGCAAGCGGCAACAAATAAGAATTTCTTCTGAATCCATTACATACAAAGACAACATAGAAGGGAAAAGAAAAATTATCTTTGTCAGCAATTTCCAAAATCAAACATTTTTCAAGCCAAATACTTTACAGAAGCCATAAACATGTGACATGCAGAAGTGTAAAGAACAATGCCCGATATAGAATTGCTACAAAATCTTCAATTGTCATATCGGAACATGCACATTGCTCTTAAAAGATCAATATTTCCATTTTTCTACAACTGATACTAGAAAAAGGGAGGAAAAACAAAAGAAAGAAAGAAAGAAAGAGAGAAGGAGAATACACATTACATATATGCATACACATGCACATTTAAAAGAACACTAAACATCTTTTCTTTTCTTTTTTTTTTCACTTTTAACCTAAGGGAAACCAGACTATTGAAATCTCAAATCTGTCTACGTTAACAAATAGGAGACATGATATCAAAACAAAAAATAATACAACTGACATAGATAATTTATCTTTCTAAAGACTACATCTAACTAAGGACATACACATGCAAAGACAGTTATTAACAACTTACAGAAACATCTTGAAATTCATCAAAATTGGTTGCAACCGTTTCCCATTCATATGTTGCATTAAGAGGGATATGAGAACCCTTTGATTTCGCTCTCTTGATCTCAAATTTCCGTATCTCCCTATAAAGTCGGTGACCGACAATTGAGTCATCTTCGTACCTGCAGCAACCACAAGCAACTAGTGAATAAGACACATATCAACCAACGTTGACCTATACTGAAATCATATACAACCAACTAAAGATTTTCAAGTAAGGACCATAAAACATGTATAACTATGGTGAAACAAATAGAAAAGAAAACTGCACTCGTTAGACTGTTTGTTGAGAAATATTATATTACCAATATGAAATACCATGCGAGTCACCCCCAACTCGTTCTTTACGAAATGTTGAAAGTTGAGCACCATGTTTAAGTGAGTTGTCAATATAGTTCCTGATGTCCTCTTGCTGCAAAATATCACTCATATTCAATCTTGCTGATCATTACAGCCAAAAAAAATGCAGCAAGCTAATTTAGTAAGTAATATAAAAATGAACCTGGTTCATATGACAATTAAAGTTTTATTTGAATTAACATGAAGAAAGAAATAACAAATAACCAAGTTAAGAACCTATTACCATAATGGTCATAAAAACTTTCTACAAGAGAAAAATCCAAATTAACTTTTATATAAAAATTGGGTGAGTATCGCACTCACAAATATTGGAATTCAAGATAACACAAACAAAATAAATTTCTACGAGTAATTTAGTATATGAAAGTACCTCGACACGAATGTCACAAAGTGCTTTCAAGATGACCACGCGAACCCCAGGATCAAGTGTCTTATATGTTTCAACCTCCGCCCTAGCATATTACCATGAGTGGACAAATTAGGAATTTAGAAAAACACAGATTTGCACAATCCCAAAATTTATGATACTCACCCATGGGAAGCAACAATGGGTAGATCACCAACTGCTACCTGCATATACATACCCAAGTCCAAGTTTAGCACAACTAAAAAAGGTGATTCAATCGAACCACACAACTACAGTATTTTCAAAGCATCAATGTATGAGCGAAATTACCCAATGCCACCAGTCTCTCAACTTTCTGCATAAAACTGTAACCCAAGAATCGCGTGTAAGTGCCATTCGTGTAACAGGAGGAATAGCCTGAGGAAAAATGAAGCAAAATTATGGGCAAAGGCAGCTTTAGCAGCATACGTATAAATAAACCATCAAAATATGTGGCAGCGTGAGCATTAACGAGTTTAAATTTCACGGTTGCCACAAGAATCTATCAACAACATTGGCGCAATCTCGGATGCATATAATCAAAATCTATGTTCCATAGAGCTTATGAGGCATAGGAATACAAAACAAAAGAAATCAGAGGAAAGAAAAATCCTTTTGTAGATAATACATATGTTTCCACATATAAAGGAATTCAAACACTTAAGCAAAAATGCAATAAAGAAACATTTCAACTTTTTACTTGTGATAAAAAAGGGAACAGAATGAACAATAAACTTGCTTTTGCACTTCAATCATTCCAAAAACATAAACTTGCACCATTGGAACTGCAAAGTCACAAACTTTTGCATTTGTACTAACGTAAATCAAAGATGTAATTGAACTCCAATGAGAGCTAAAACAGCTTAAGCAACGACTGAGAGGTCCACATTTGATCAAAAGAAGTAAACTTTCTAGAAAAGCTTCAATGGAGTTCAACTGAAACAGAAACAAAAGAGAAAGCAACGACCTTTAACAGAGGGATGTGAATGTCGCTGAGAGTGTCATTGGGCGTGATCAAGGCCGTTTCGAACTCCTCCGCCGTGAACTCCGCCGAGATATTCAAGAGCGGCCGGAAAACCTGCAAGTGCAAAAAAAGAAACCACCGCTAAGCCCTAGAAACCACGGACATTAAAACCTAGAGATCGAAGCTCCGAGTTCTCTCACATGCAAAAAATTGAGCACCGAGGCCAGCTCCCACATCGACCGGAGAGTCCACCGCGGCAATTGCGACGGCGGCGGAGGCGAAACCAGCGGCGTCACGATCTTGCTGCTGGCGCTGCATTGGTGCTGTCCAAGCGGCGACACATCGCCGGCGTCGTCGCCGGCGTCGCCGTCCTCCCTCCGCCGATTCCTCTGGTCCTTCTTCCTGGGCGCCGCCTTGGCCTTGCGCTGCTCGGTCGCCGGCTGCGAGGCCGCGTAGAGCCGCGCGGCGGCGCGGATGGTGCACGCGCGCGACGGCCGGTTGCTCCGCGACAGGGGAGGCCCCGGCGGCGGGGCGTCGGTCTGTGGCTCGGCGGCGGTGCCGTTCTGGGGGTTGGGGCCGGGGTCGCCGGGGATCGGAGGCGGCGAGGCTTCACGGGACATAGTGAGAGAGAGATCGAGAGGGTTTACGGGAGTTAGGGTGGGATTACTCGCAGAGGATCACCGTAGGTTTGCATTGGAAGAGAGACGCAGAAGAGAAGGGATTGAGAGAGAGACAGAGAGAGAGGGAAAAGGGGGTCCTCGGCCTTGTGTGTTAAATGTTGATTTTTGTTTTTCTATTTTTCTCTCTCTCTCTGAATTTTTTTCCCATTTTTTTCTCTTTTTTCAATATTTTTTTTTCTTTTTTAATATTGATCAAGAGAGAGAAGAGTTAAATACACACATATATGAATATTATTATGTACATATATGTTTGTAATTGGTATATTGGTATAGCCCTAAACTGGAATTATGAAAAGGGAAAACGTAGAAGCAAGAGAGAGAAACACAGATGGGGAGATGGGAGAGAGAAGAGACCTGGAATTTAATGTGCAATTTTTATTTTATTTAATTTATTGTTTTAATCTATTGGGTTATTGAGAGTAAATTCACTTGTTGGGTCTTAAATTTTTAATGAAATAATAATAATAATACGAGATTGGAGGTTAATCTACAGTTGGTTTTATCCTTTCACATAAGTTCTTAATAAAACTGTTTTTACCCACCAAAAAACCCAATAAGAACCGCTTTTTATGAACCCAAGTTAAAATACATATATATTTTCAAGCAAAAAAAAAAAAAAGTTAAACTACATATAATCCATAATTAATTGCTTTGTTCCTGATAGGTGGATCTACAAAATTTTCCTTGCAGCAACAGATAAAAGACAATTCTATCAAAATAAATAATAATAAAAAATAAAAGACAAGAAGATACAAAAGTCATGGTTAAAGCTCATTTTACCGATTAAAATTTAAAATTTGAGTTTTATTACAGTAAAAAATTTTAAAAAACAGACACATTTAATTCTTTTACTACAGTAAAAAATTCTCACATAAAAATTACATCTCAATTTAAATTAAAAACTCAAATTAACGAATTAAGCTACCATTAAAATTGTAAGACCAAACCAAAATCGTCTCCATGACTGATCTCAAAGGCCCAGGTGATTGTGGAATTTTAAAGTAGCACGAAAGTCATGTCATTGAAGTTGGTTCCGAAGGTCCATAGAGAACTTATGTGAATTTGAATAAAATAATAATAGGATTATGTTTTTTTTTTTTTCAGGGAATATATTTATCCCAAGAAATCTATTATATCTCTTTCAAAATTGAATTCTTACAAATGAATAATCCCAGTAATCAAATATGGTAAAAAAAAAGTATTTATATTTATATTGAATCACATTAAATAACCTTAACAAGTGTTTAACAAACTAAAATCAGTTGAAAAATAGTGAGAGAAAAATGTAGGGATCTCCATATAAATATAAAAAAATTAGAAGGCTATAATTTGATTTATGTTCGTATAGATCCTTTTAATATATTGAGTTCATCCACGTGTTACTCATTCAATTAAAACTAGATAAATAAGTTATTTGTTGATTAATTTATTTATTTTTATTATATTATCTTGTCGTAGATAATTAATATTGTGTTTTTCCTTTTACTTGCGTCAAATTCATTTATACATCAACCAAATTCGATGGATGTCTTATCATAATTTTAAATTGAGTTTGAGTAGTATAAATATACTGAAGTCCTAAATGTCATACCTAAGATAGAAACTAAATTATGCATGACTGATCGAGGCATCAAATTATTCTCTTGGGAAACATGTTCCTAGAAATATACAAGAGTATATACCTAACCTCCAAAAAATGAAAAAAAAAAAAAAAAAAAAAAAAAAAAAAAAAAAAAAAAAAACACAAGAGTATATACTTCCATGAAAAGTATGTATAAGAGATACATGAATATTTTTAGGGATTGGACACCATTAAAATGATCTAGGCCTAGGTACGGTTCTACTACAAAATTTTGCCTCTACAATATTTATGTTTCATATCTCTCTTTTATAGGACTGTCATGTGTAATCCTTCTTCTTACCTATTTTTTTATTTTTTATTTTTTTATCTTCATTTTTTTACCATTTTTTAAATGTTTTTCTATGTCTTTTTTGCGTGCTTTTCATGAATATTTTTAGGCATTGGACTGTCATGTTTCATATCTCTCTTTTATAGGACTGTCATGTTTTTCTATTTTTATATTTTAATTTTTTACGCATGCTTTATAAATTTTTTTCTCACTTTCTTCTATGAAAGTAATTCTTTTTACATGTGTACATTTTCTTTTGTCAATGATTTGAAATAATTTCTTCAAATGTGTCCCTATTTAATTATTTTTTATGTAATTCATATTATTTCAAAAATTATTTTTATATGTATTTTTTATACTAAATCACCTTCTTTTAATTTACAGTTAAATAATGGTATGGATATTAACTTAAATCCTAATTTTTATATGCCAGCTGATGTAATCACTTATCATTAATTGACATGTCAATGTTTTAAACGCTCACTAATATAAAAAGAACAACTCTTATATCACATCAATTAGTATGTATACAAGAGTTATGATTTGAGTTGGTATCTCTAACATTACTCTTTACAGTTATATGAATCTTTTCTACTACTAGGTCATGTTTAGAATTAAAAACAAATATTCTTTCGACTAAATTTAAAAAAAAAAAACTAATTTTTAAAATAAATTACAAAAATCCTTAAATAGTTGTATTAATGAATTTTTTATTTTTTTGTAAATAGTAAAACTATTTAGGTATCTCTAACTCAAAACTAGTTTGTATAAAGAAAGACATTTATTTTTCTCCTAATGGATTTTTCCATCCAATCAAACAATTAAAAACTAAAGATTAATAATTGAGCGTGCATTACATACTATGGACCCAGAGTGAGTGCAGCCGCCTCCACTAATTTTTTTTTCAAATAGCAACGAAAAACTTGTGATTTTTTTCATTTTACCCTCTTATAAAATATGATTTTTCATGCATGTACGTGCTTACTAAACTTTACACCTTTTTCATTTTTATTTAATTAGTGTATGCTCTCACTAGAATACATTAAAAGGTATTGTATCATATTTCATTGAACCAGGAAAAATTCAATTCTTCCTACTGAATTACTATCCTATTTGATTGATTCAAGAAAACACTTCAATTCATTTTATTTGCTCCATATTATGACTAACAGTGATCGAGTGAATGAATCATCATTGGGATTTTTGTTTGTATGTTTTTTTTTTTTTTTTTTGTATCTCTAAGTATGTGTAATATGAAGGGTTTTTAGTACAATTATCCTCTAAATTTACGTAGTTTAACAAATTGCCCTTAAAATTTTTAATTTTAACAATCAATCAACCCGGCGTCCCAAACTTATAAAATTATTACAATATGCCCTATTTTACTAAATTTGTCTAAATTTTTTATTAGATTTAAGGATTAAAAGTTGAGGAATTGAAATATTTGTGCTATATTTCAATTGACATGTTGAAATTCTTCATCGAATGTATTTTTTCAACACTCATTTAACACAATTATAGTAAAAAGGGGCATACTGTAATGATTTTAAAAGTTTACGGACAAATTGCGAAAATTAAAAGTCTAGAGAGTAGGGGACGTTTAGAAGGAGGATTCGTGCCATGATTCGAATCATAGTTCGTGGTTCGCTACAGTATTTTCTCTCATAAAAAACACACGTAAAATGAGAATTGTTCTAAATCATAGTTCTGAATCCATGAACCAAACGTCCCCTAGGGTTCGTTTGGTACGATGATTCAAATCAGAGTGATTCTAATCAAGATTCTAGAATCATAACCATGATTCATGATTTTATGTTCAAATTCTGAAATCATGATTCAAAATCAGGGGTGATTCAAGAGGGGGGTGGTTTTAGAATCATGAATGATTCTAGTTTAAAACATCACATCAGATTCTGAATCATGATTAGAATCATCCAAACCAAATACTGATTCTGAATCATGATTCAAAATCACTATAAACAAACACTGATTCTGAATCAGGATCCAGAATCATAATTTTGGATCTATCTACCAAACGCCCCCCAGTTGCTAAAAGTAATTTAATAAAAAAGTTTATTCATTATTATGTGGATATGTTATTGAATATTTTATGGATATCACAGAAAATTCTATGATTATTTATGTGACCTTAAATATTGTATATAAATGTTATATGCGAGAGGATGATATTTAAAAATAATAATCAAAATGATGTTCGTAATGAATTTAATTAAAGTTCAAAATATGTAATTAAAACATTGTTAATACATGTCATTCCAATTTAGAATGGAATGATGTTATTCGCACTGTTAATATAGCGAGATATTGAACGAGTGTATTACGAGATATTATGTGGAACAAGGACACAGATACAATATGAATTTCTAATAATTTTCATTAAGTATAGAAATTCTAATTGAGTCTACCGATTGTCTTATATAGAATGATCTTAATTTGGAGTTATTAGCATACTCATATTTATTGATTTGTGTATTTTGATTTACTCAGTACAAATTCTGAGATGTTGAATCATATTCCTTGTATTTTAGAGACATGATGAAGTGAGTAGTCGAGAATGTTATTATACAAGATGAAATCCATTCCTTCTTGAGAAAGAAATACATAAATAAATCTCTTGAGAGTTGATTCGGTACTTGGACTAGTAGGAGCCCCGATTTATGAATTTGTTTTATGAATCATTGTCCATTAGAGAATCAATGGTACTCAAAGATACAGATGTAATTAGAGAGGTTAATGGATTTTACCTAGCTTTAATTATGAATTATTTATGGAGGATTGATCTATATGTAATGACTATATCAAATGGACACTTTAAAGTTTGGAAGTAAATTATATCTATAATTATGATAGTGCAATTCTAAGTTTATAGTGGAGTAACTTTTATAATTAATAGAAAAAATTAATTAAGGAGTTTTAATTAATTATTAATTTTATTGGATCTTGGAATTATAAGTTCATGAGTCCTCGCGTCATCCTTGTAATCCTACAAGACACTAAGGGTAAAATGAGAATTTTAGAATTATAGAATTCTAAAATAAAACGCTCAAGAATAATTAATTGAAAATTAATTATAAATTAAATAATGTGATTATTTTGATTTTTGGAACACACGTGTAGAGGTGTCCACATGGTGTATACACCATATGCAGTGTTGATCCCTTTGGAATTCAGTTATCCGATTGACTTATTTGATAAGTTGTCCAATTGAAATTCAAATTAAATTAAGT